GACTTTGAGAAGCACTACAAAACCGAGAAAGGTAGAAAGATCGGGTTTCTTCGCCACTTGCCTTCATTGGCATAAGCGCTACTCTGCTTATTCTGCTCATGGCACTGGGCATCTTACTCGACATCTTGCTAAGTGTCCTAAGAAACTTGAGAAGACCCGGGGCATGACTCAGACTCATATTGCTTTTAATTCTGGTGGTTCTGTTCGTCGTTGGGAGTATAGTGCTGAGGTAGCTCGTGTCGAACTTGTTCGTATGCTTGCTAGATTGGACCTACCTCTTATGATTGGTGAAACTGAGGCATTTAAAGATTATATTAAAACTGTTCATAACCCTAATTTTTCACCTGTCTCTAAGCAAACCACTAGTAGAGATCTGTTTAAATACTACAATGAGAAACGTGATAAACTGTTGGTCTGTTTAAAGGATAATGCTGTTTCATCTGTTGCTATTACCTCTGATATATGGTCTGCAAAGGCTAAAGAAAATTATTTATCTGTTGTGGCTCATTTCATTAATGCTGATTGACAATTAGAGAAAAGGGTACTTGGTTTAAGGTTGATTGATGTGTCCCATAATCTTTGAGAACATTCTTTGGCGTGTTGCATCCGTCCTTGCCTTGAGTATGGTATACTTAACAAGGTTTTTTACGTAACTTTGGATAATGCATCGCAAATAAAAATGTTATGGATAGACCTGAAACCTATACTTAAAGAATATTTAGGTTCGATCATTTTTGCATCAACGATGTGCTTGTCATATTATTAACACGATTGTGAAAGAAACATCGGTCTTTGTGAATCCTCTAATTGAGGATTTTAGAACGACAATCTCTTTTATGAACTCCTCTAATCAAAGAATGCTTTGCATACAAGAGTTATTACATTGCTAGTGGTGTTAGACCTAGGAAGTTTGGATTAGACATGGATGTTAGATGGAACTCTACCTACCTAATGCTTAAGCACTTGTCGCCTCACGAGAGTACTTTCGGTACTTTCATTGAGGCCAATTACCCTAGAGGTTAGGGTAGTGGTTTCCTTTTGTTGATGATCACGGGCTATGGCAAATAAAATCTTGGAATTTCTTGAGCGTTCTATGACTCAACTGTTGATTTGTGCGGTGTTTACTATCCTACTTCTCCACTTATGATTCATCATCTTGTTAAGATTGCTATACACCTGCATAGGTATCAACATGATGAACATCTAAGATCTGTTATCCAACCTATGATTGACAAATACAATAAATATTGAAAGAACGTACCTGATCTTTATTCTATTGCATTCATATTGGATCCAAGAACTAAAAATTAAGGGATTTACCAAAGTGCTTAGGAAGTTACATTCTCTTTTTAATATTGACTACACTAATAAGTTGCTGGACACCAGAGCTCTTCTGTTTAAAATGTATAACATGTATGATGTAATGTATGGCTCTAATAGGCTGAAAAGGGTTGTTCCTCCATCCTTGTCTGGTAAGAAAAGAACAGCTTGGGCTGAAATTTATGATGATGAGGAGTTAGATGTTGGAGCTGGCTGTTCTTCCCTCCCTTCTAGTCTTGATCATTCTAGGAGTATTTCTGCCACTTCCTTGCTGCAGGCCGCAACTGCTAGTTCTAACTCTAGTGAACTTGCATCCTACTTGGACTGTGACACAGTAAGCCAGTTGGATGATGAGTTTGACATCATGCAGTGGTGGCATGAGCACAAGCTTACTTATTCAGTACTTTCTATTCTTGCTAAAGACATTTTGACAGTGCCTGTGTCAACCATTTCTTCAGAATCTACTTTTAGCTTAACTGGCAGGATCATCGAGGAGCGGCGGCGGAGGCTGAACCCTGAAACTGTAGAGGCGCTTACCTGCATCAAGGATTGGAAGAATGCTGAGACAAGACTGCAACACATGGTGGGGGACAAAGAGTTAGAAGAGGCCTTTGTTGGTCTTTATCTTGATGTCGACTAGTGCACTCTCCATTTATGTAATGGTTCTGTAATAACTGAGACTTGGACTTGTGCTGATGGATGTAATGAATAATTAATCTAGGAGCTGGCTGTACTCTTTTCCTGTTTAGGGTTTCTCACAAGGGTAAGTTTTACCTAAACAGGTTTTTAATGAGGCAGCCATTGCACAGCTCTTACTTAAATTAGTTTTAGTTCTAAAAGTTTGTTCTTTGCTGTGCTGTGTTTTGAACTGTTTTTGATCTTTTTGAACTCTTTTAGATCTCTTTGAATTGCTACGCTGAGTTTATTGAGAGGTTTTACCAGTTTAGTGGCTGGGCCGGCACGGGCACGCTAAGCCTGGAGTCGGCACGGCACGGCACGGCATGCTCTAGGAATGATAGTGCCGTGCCTGGGTCTGGAATCGGACACGGTGGCACGACACGGCACGGCACGGTTCATCAACCATGCCTAGCGTGCCGTGCCCAGACGTGCCGTGCCGGGACAGGCTAGTGCCGTGTAGTGTCGTGCCGGCATTTTTGGAAAACTATATCAATACCGGCAGGTCCAAATCCAGTGCGCCCTCCGTCTGTCTCACGTGATCTCGTTCCGAGTCACTGCTGACTCTGCACAGGCGCTTGATCTGCCTGCCATGGCGAGATCCGTTGCAGTTGCAGAAGAATTGCAACCACCTTTGGTGTTCGTCGAGTTGGATCCTAGGTAGGAGTAGTGACAAACACATGACAACAGATATAGTATCCACATGAGATTGAGATCTGTAACCTGTTTATTCTGCAGGCTTTGTTCGGTACATGTATGGTTTCGACCGCCAATTTGTCTGAAATCTGCATTCGTTCCACGCCGAAGGCCGCGTAGCCCTGCCTCTCTCTGAGACTGAGCTGCGATCTACAACGATCGTGCGCACATGCACAAATGGCCAAATGGGGAGTTCGTTGTTTTCTCTGGACTGAACATGGCAGTGGCAGTTAGCGGTTAGTGGTGAGGTGGTGGTGGGTACTGCTGCATGCGTACAGTCAGGGTACCTGTAAACGAACCAACACATGGCAAGGCCGGCGGGTCAAACGGTGAGACCTACGGAGCGAGCGTCTACCACACCTACCCGTTCGCTCGGTCGTATTTGGCTTATAAACCATAATTTATCAGTCAATGAATAGTATTTCTCTCTCACATCAAATCAGCCAATAATACTTTCAGTCATAACTTATAAACCAAACAAGTCCAAACGAACAGGGCGTACGTTCTCCAGCCCATGTGATGTGGTCAGTCTGCTGATCATTTCGCCCAAACAAATCCATCCATTCCATTTCATCATCGCCGGAAATTTGGCAAGGATATTCTCAAAACCTGGCGGTTCAATTCAATCCGCCACTTGTTTTTGAAACTGAAGCTGTGACTGCGAGTTGTCGATGTCTATAGGAGTAGGAGGGGAGAGCGGCGGTCGTCAGACGCTGCGGTTTATATTTTACAGTACCTATTATTGAAGTAAAAAACATCACGCGGTGGCGCTGCAAGCGCGCGCCGCTGCTGTCGATGGCAAAGCAAAAACGAGACAACAGCACGAGGAGCCACGTTGTGGTGTGCCCAAGCGGCAATCACGATCACAGCGGGCCGGGCGGTCCCAACGGACGACACCGATGGATTGAAAATATCGGAAGCCAAAAAGCCCAAACCAACCAAACAAGCAAAAGAGCATTTTAAAACGGGAGCACAGCTATATATTTCGATTTCTCAAAAGAAAAAGGCTGTATATTTCGAAAATTGGCGGAGGTTGGAGGCTACATCCAAGCAACGCAACGGTCCATTTATATTCGACTCAGCTTGTTGAAAACGTGAGATAAAACCGACGTGCTCGCTGTTTTCAACTAGGAGCGCGTTTAGTTCGGCAAACTTGGGAGGTGCAAACTTTGCACACTAAAAGACTCCCCACTGTAGCATTTTGTTTGTGTTTGTGAATTATTGTCTATCGACTAATTAGGCTCAAAAGATCTGTCTCGCAAAGTTAAAGCAAACTGTAAAATTAGTTTTTGATTTTATCTACATTTAGTACTCCATGCATATACCGTAAGTTTGATGTGACGAGGAATCTTCTTTTTGCATAGTGCACTTTTGGAGAACTAGATAAGGGCTAGGCGAAGTCACATCACCAACATTTCAACTACGGCGTTGTTTAGTTCCTCCAAAACTCTTAACTTTGGCACTATGCAAAAAGAAGATTCCCCGTCACATCAAACTTGCGGTACATGCATGGAATATATTAAAAGTAGACGAAATTAAAAACTAATTGCATAGTTTGGTTGTACTTTGCGAGACGAACATTTTGAGGCTAATTAGTCGACGGTGGGACAATTATTATCAAATACAAACGAAACACTACAGTAATGCTACGGTACATTTTGCCAACTTTACACCTATAAAGTTTGATAACTAAACAAGGCCCACATATCTGGTTGTCTACACCAAACAAAACAATGCTGTCCGTAAGAAATCCACACAAACGATTCTTTTTTTTTAAATGAAGTTTATTTTTTATGAACTGGCTGCAGTTTTGCTAAAAATAAGCAAGCAAGATAAACAGGAGCAAGCAACCATATCAAATGGGTCGAGAACTGAAAGTTGCCAGAACGCCACAGACCGAACAAAACCTGACCAAAAAGCATGTTTATCTTCATACCAACGCCACGGCAACGCCAAAGCCAAGCAAGAAACACGAAGACGGGCAGAAAATTGTTCAGACAAAGGCAATCAGCTAAATAAACAGGAGAGAGAGAATATTCTATTCCAGCTCCCGACCCCCCTCTTCTCGCTGCTGGTCTCCTCCCTCCCTCCGCCCTCCCGTATAAACTCGGCCAAGAAAAGCAAAGGCAGGGAGGAGAAAGGCAAGGGAAGTGGGAAGGTAGGAGAGAGAGAGAGGGAGCCAGGGAAAGCTCTCTTCTTTCTTCTTCCTCTTCCTCCTCCTCTCGAATTCCGTCTCTTGTCTCTCTGTCCTCCTCGCCCGGTTCCCCCGGTTTTTGAGAGGGGAAGGAGGAGGCGGAGGAGAGGGAGGGATGGGGAGGGACGAGAGGTTCCCGGTGTGGGAGGCCGCGCTCGGCGCCGGGGTCGCCGCCGCCTTCGCCGCTGGGCTCGTCGGGGTCTACCTTTCCATGCCGGACTCCGACTACAGCTTCCTCAAGTTGCCACGTAATCTCGAGGAACTCCAAATCCTCACGTATGTTTCCTTTCTCCTGCCCCCGTAATAAGCTCTTCATTTTTCTTGTTCCGGTTGGTGACTTGGTGCCTTGTCAGTTCTGTTCACGAAAGCTTCAGCCTTTTTGTTTTGGTCCGGAATTTGATGCCAAGATTCCCTATGATTATTAGCTGATCTCTGCACGCTGATCTCTGCACGCAAATTGTCTACATCCTCTAAATGGAGTAGTTTGCAAGGCACAATTCGAATTCCATTTCTTCTTCTTTTTTCCCTCGTACGTGCTAGGCAAATCTGTATTGGTGGCTCGATTGAAGAATAATAATGTGCACAGCAAACATTTGATTCTTTGTCTGCGATTTCAATGCCAAATGACACTGGCTGGCGTTTGTCGCAATGAAACAGTTGATTGGTGGTAGCAGCTTTGCAAGGAATTAGTTAGCGGTTATCTCGTGATCCGGAATGGATCTCAACGTTAGTTTGGTGGAAATTCTGAAAGGCGTATAGCATGGATCTGGTGAAATTTGCTGCCCCTTTTGTTAATTCGAAATTGCTAACGGATGATTTGTTTGTGTTCTGGACCAACCTACCTTCAAATTAGAAAGATTAGATTTCTCAATAGTAAGACCAGTGCCATATTCAAGTACTGTACTGCTTAGTGTTGGTGCTGTTTGTTGTACCATGATTTAGATCTGCTAACCGATCAACTTGAATTACAACCTGGTTTTCCAATTCAAATCTATATTTCTATGGATAAATTTTTAAAAGGGTAACTTAATCATGTCACTTTATTTTTCCTAATTATCATGTCACTTTATTTTTTCCTAATTACCATGTCACTTTCGTGCCAGCCACAATTGCCATATGCTTTTGGACTTGGTCGAAGCGTGTTCCATCTGCCTTGAGCCGATAATCACACTGGATCTGATCTGTCTACACACGTCAACTATTTGTTTCCCATACTAATGGTTTACCGTTTGCACATTGCCTTCTTGTTTCTTGCTATACTACCAAATTGGACGTGCCCTTTGTTTTTTTATTGCCGAAATGAAAGTTCAGATGTGTGCACAGTACTTAGTAATTGCTAGTACCACTGAAATGGAAATTTGCTTTGTTTTCTAACCACTAGTTTATTTCTTTGCAGTGGCCATCTTGAGAACTATACTAGTGACTACACCCTACAGGTGTTGGTAGGTTATTGCGCTGTGTACATCTTCATGCAGACCTTCATGATCCCAGGGACAATATTCATGTCTCTGCTTGCTGGTGCTCTATTTGGGCAACTCCGGGGCGTGGCCCTGGTGGTCTTTGCTGCCACGGCTGGTGCTTCTTCGTGCTATTTCCTGTCGAAGATGATTGGGAAGCCACTGGTGTTCACACTGTGGCCAGATAAGCTCAGCTTCTTCCAGAGACAGGTATCTAAAGACCAAAATCGCCCAATTTAGTTTTGTTTCTAAAGTCCGTATTCAGGCTCAAATTGTTTATTCTGAATTGCTCTATGCTTTTGTTAAGCTATCTGATTTAAGCCCCTCAGAGACTATGTATCTCATAACTGAGGAGAGGTAAATTGTCTTCCATTTCAGGTTGCTCAAAGAAGAGAGAAGCTGTTGAATTACATGCTTTTCCTCAGGGTAACCCCAACATTGCCAAATACCTTCATCAACTTAGCTTCGCCCATAGTAGATGTCCCCTACCATACATTCTTACTGGGAACTCTCATTGGTCTTATCCCAGCTGCTTATGTGACTGTCAGGGTAAGTTCTGTTGTCAGATATCATGCTTGTTTACCTGTTGCCATCTAGTGTCCCCATTGTGCTAATACCAGTTCTGCTATTGCCCCCCTACTGTAATGCTTTCAGGCTGGAATTGCTCTTGGAGAGTTAACTTCGCTGAGTGACCTTTACGACACCCAGTCGATAGCACTGCTATTCCTGATCGGTGTTGTTTCAGTCACACCAGCATTATTGGGCAAGGGCGAGGCACAAGAAAAACCATCAGAAATGGCGGTAGGCGCATCATGATCACCAAAGCACCGAGAGGTGTCCACCTCACCTGTATATATCAACATCCAGCATGCAGTGGCTTCATTAGTTCGGATCGACAGGCCCTTGTGGCTGGATGACAAAAATGGTTGGCATGGCTACACAGCTTGGGGGGTCCTTGGCCTAAACTCCGTCCACCGCCGGCCTACATAGGCACCTGTGTCGCCATCATCAGAACATGATTCGGTGGCCATTCACCACATTATGAATGAATGAATGAACCTGGGAAGCAGAATGCCCGTTAGACAAGCTGCTCTGATGTGTAAACGAGTAGTGCTGTTCGGATAGGACAGGCATTAAGTCCAATCCCTGTATATATTGACCAGATTCATTCAATCCATATTCAGTGGTTCAAAGATAATGCCATGTCCAGCTGCTGTGTTCCTGAATGTCTTGCTCCATTTCTAGTTTCCCTTCTGTACCTGATTGACCATGGCCTACTGGTTCTGTTGTAAAATGCCTTGTCCGCATCACTTTGGCATTTGGCGAGTGATGCTGTCTTCATTGTCGGTAGGAAATAGTAGAGCTTGTTTCCTCCTTTACCATGCCAAGTGATGCGGTCGTCAAATGCGCGACTTGCAAAAGGAAACAGTAGTGCTTGTTTCTGATGATGGGGCGTTTATTTTTGTTTGGTGAGCATGAAGGTATAGCCGACGTACAGTTTTTAAACAAAACTGGTTCGTATTTTTTTTAATCACACTACACAGTACACACGCTGCATGTGTGTACATACACTCATCACGATGAACACACTACTAAAAAGAATAACGTTGTTAAATTCTAAAATAAATTTTCACCATCAGAAATATAAACAGCTGACCCTGCGCTCAGTTCGCTAGTTCCGATGATCTTGCAATAGTGTCTCTACTTTTTTAGATAGAATGCTCCATTTTTCTAGTGAAAAATTTTAAGCTAAAGTTTTTATTTGAAACGGACCAATTTTCTCGTGAAACCGAGAATTTTTTAAAGCTAGAATATTTGAATGTTGAATTGGAACCGTTGTTGTGTCATTGGCCATGTTTGTTTCTTTTATAATCCGTCTTTTTTAGTTTGTTTTTTCAGTCGAAACCGTGTTTCTTTGTCACAACAAATCAACCGCAACAGTGCTTCGCTTTGTTTTTTCAGCGAAGCGAACGGGCCGATTAAAGGAAAGACTGTTAGCTGGGCCAACGTGGCGTGCAATTCGTCTTTGGGATTCACCCACCCCAAGTGCTAACTACTGTTGGGCCTTTGGCAACACGTACCAGTCAAGCGAATCGTCACGGGCTGATGACGCTACATGGGTTACCCAGCAGCCGCACTGTTGGCCTGTTGGGCTACCCAAGTTGAACTGGGATCGTCCCCATCTCCGCCGCTGCGGCGAGCAGGCAGCGACCGCCGCAGCAAAACACGGCCAGGCCGGTGAGCGGTGGAGGGGAAGTGGAGCACCGGCGCACCGCATATGCTCGGGGTTCTTCGCCGCGCAGCCCTCGCCGCAGCGTCGTCGCCGGCGGCGGGCCTCCGACAGGTGCGTCCGATTCCCACTCTTCAGGGCGCGTGATGCTGCTTGCGACCCACTGCATTCCTTCCGCGACCGGCACTGATATGGTTGATTTCGGATGTGGTTTGCCGTCCTACATCCTGAGGGCCAGAAGCGTGTACCTCTGGGAGAGGGAGGTGTTGTTCACTAAACGATTAGAATAGATGGGCCGTAGTTTAGAGTGCTGCACTTCCGCGTGGCGCGCGGTTGGATGGTCTAAGAGCTGGTTACGAGTATCGGTTTATGGTAGAAATAAACGAGGTTTCCGTGTAAACAGCGAATCTGTGACTAGGACTGTCTGCTCGTTGTGATTGTGAAAAATAGAAGTGCTCTGTGTGAAGCCTGACAAAACTTTTGGTTTCTGAATTTTGCAGTTTCAGTGTGCTTACCATAGAAGCAATGAGAGATTATCACCTATCCAAGGTAAGTGTGGTCAGTGGCCATACTCTCCTCTTCCTAGTTGCTTCTTGATCTAATGTCTATATTTAGGCCTATGAGCTTCACATACCGTATGGGTCTCCCAAACGACAAGCTATGACATGTGCCACAAAATTTCGACTTGGGGAATACCTATGTCACTAACTGCTTATTATGTCAAGCTTGATATTTCATTTTATTCTATTTGACCAGTCATTACAAAATATCTGCAAAATTTCTGATCTACCCTTTGTTGCACAGAGAAGACCCAGAAGTTTCATATGGTCTTAAGTGGGCTATTGCTGGGAAAGGTGTCATTGTGAAAGATAAGGTCTTCCATAACTTGGAAACATCTGAGCTTCAGGAAGGAGGTGCTACTTACCCAGGTATGTGCAAATTATTGTTGTCCTGTAATGATGTGTATGTACAACTGGCATATGATACTATAACTCTGTGACTGCATCTGGAACATGCAGACTGCTTGTCTGGTATACCACTTCATGTTAGAGGAGATGTCATTGGTGGTGTCCCTGGTGTTTCAAAAGCTCAATTTGCAAAGCTTCTGAAACTGGTAGGTTCTAAGTTTTGGCTTCATCCCTCAATGGGATGGTATTCAATGATGATTATCTTGAATGGAGCTGAAATACTGTTAGTCCCTTTTTTCAGCATCCAAGATTTTTTTTACTCTTCTTAGTTTAGCCATAACATCCCCCTGTTTGTTGACAGACTGCTTGCTTGTATAGGTGACGTTTCATCTTTCATCCATCTCATGTCTATATGTTCAAGATGGTGCCATTGGTTCCTCAGCAGAATGTGATGCAAAGGTTCGAGTCATTAGTGATAACCCCTCTGCTGTTATGTTATTGTCCAATGTCCTTTGGAAAATACCGGATCGTGCGATTTCCCATGACACATCCCCTTTGACTATATATGCTACCAGTTCCATAAGGTACATTATCTTTTTCATTCTTTTGCATATGATTTTAACTTGTTCATTCATTCAAGTAATATTTTCCAGAAAGAAGCGAAGTCTGTAGTTGGCTATAATGGAAGGCTAATTAATATCTTCTTTATGAATGTTTGAAGCAGTAACAATGTTAAGACTATTCTTGGTTCTGGAACACAATATGCTAATGGATTTGCAGCAGCGGATATTGAACGATCATCTCTAATCCTATGCGGTAAAGCATTTGCTGATTCAGCTCTTGTGAAAGATGCACTTACTGCTATGACAGCTCCAATATTGTCTGCAAGAGGAGGCCTCCCGGTTCCAGGCTGGTAAAGTCAGCTTATTAATCTTCGTTGATTATGTTTCTGTAAAGTTCTTATTTTCCTTTCGTATTGTGTATTTCAGGCTTCTGTGCTTTGGTGGTTCTATTGTATTATTGTTTGCCCCGGTGGAAATCATGATGTCCTGCTTAGAAATCCACAATGCTCTATTGTCCATTGACTGTGGTGTAGTCATCTCTTCTAAAGGGTCTACTGTGCTTTTCCCAACAAAGGCAAGAAGGGAGCCAAAATTGTTTACCAAACCAACTGCAGTAATTATTGTATCATCTGATAGGTAATGAGCAGTCCATGCTTTGATGACATTTGTCTTGTCTAAAACATGCAGTTCGTGGAGTGTTACAAAAGTTCTTTTGCTAAACAGGAACATTAACATCTCTTATATGATAATTAAAATGAAAAAAGATTTGTAGTTGTGACAAGAAGGAATGGGACTAAGTTTGCTAACAATGTATTGGTCTTTTCTACTTTCAGCACAGGTGCTATACCATCTGTATCAAAGCTCTCTGCTGGCCAGGCTGCTTACCATTTCTTGACTGGATATCACGATGGAAAATTTGTCCCAGCATACAGCAGGGCCCCCTCTCCTGCTGACCCACTTGCGCTTGCAAGTTCCTTATTCTCACATGTAGGTGGCTCTATTTCTTTGTTTTTCTCTCTGGTTATTTAGTAACTCATATTAGTTCTCTACCTTATGCCCATTTACTGTCTTTCTGGTATTGGCTCTGAAGATTGATGTGCTGCCTTTGCAGTTGAAAGAAGATGATACACCAGCATATCTGATCAATGCTAAGCACTCTGGAAAGTACATTGATGGTAATATAACATTACCTTTCTCGTATTGTTCACTTTGCTTTCCTGGAATGGACACTAAGATGACAAGATGACAAATATTGTTTGACAGACAATGGGTTTATGAAATTATTGAAGCTGGCACTATCTCACAATCTTCCTGACATCAAAACTGATGACTTTAGAGGTAAATAGTTCTTGACGCCCTACATACTCAATATCTTGGTAAGTGATATCCATAAAGTGTAGTCCAATTTTAACCGACAGAAATACATCTTTGGTTGCAGTTGGGGAACTCAAGGGGAAGTACAGGAACTTTCTATCCAGCAAGTTTGGCAAATGTTTACCCGAGGAATTCTCTTTCTAGGAGATGTACTCTGAGGTTGCAGTGGACATGTATCTTTACTGACATAGTCACATAGGTTTACATTTTGAGTTAAAAAGCGTTAGGAATCCCATTCTATATCAATTAAAAAAATTATACTCTATTACCTTACATCTTTCCCCCTCCTGGTGCTTGGTTACTGACGCAATGTAGCACCTTCATGCATGAATTGGCTTGGGCAGTTGTGCACTTCCATTTCAGTCAATTTTGTTAAGCGGCAGAAAGTTGAAAACTTTCAGTATATACATGTCACGTGTGACTTTGTGAGCTGCAGAGATCAGACTGTACTATTCTGTAGAATCGGTAACAACCAAAAGGTCCAAAAACTGCTCTCCATCATGCTGCAGTGTTCTCGGCTCCACTTTACCGGACACTGTTGCCTCTTTACCATTACTACTGCTGGGGCAACCAGAATGCAGAATGCAGTGAACTGTGAAACAACGGAGTACACGATACAAAAAGGTGTCAACCGTCGACATTGAGAAATTGAATCCTACCATTTCATTTCACGCGGGAGCTGCCAGAGCTTCACATGGTTTCACTGAGAAGAGTAGTAGAAGACCGGTGCGGTGGTCCCTCTGCACCATGGTCCATGCATCTCCTCATGTAGCTGCTGATCTCCAGAGAATGGCAAAGCAGGTGACCCCTGTCCATGTTCAGACTCCCATCTTAACTCACGTATTTTGGCGTGCATTCCTGAAAGTTTCAACTGATAAGGCGGTGAGCAGCGGAAGTTGCTCATCTGAACTGAACCTGATCTTTTGGTGTTGCTGATGGACTCATTTATTCAGGCACATCACTCCAGGTCCTTGTGAGCCAACTGAATAATTTGGAAATAGCATGCACCTTATAATGTAGGAGTAGCATCTTATATTAACTTTAAGGGAGTGGGGGCAATTGCCGGGGGAAGGGTACCCGGAGCAAATCGATTATTGAAGGCCAACAGCCTCATCAAGAACCCTACTGGCTCTCACATGTTTAACAGGCCTTTTCCGTCCAATAATGCATCATGACCCGTTGCTATCATCACTCTGTAATGTCAGCTCAGGAACATGGGGATCGTCACTGCTCATACAGGTTTTTTTGACCTTTTAGTAGTATAATAACTGATTCGAAAATCTCTGCTTCATAGACAGCAACGTTAACAAAGCATATAATGAAACAATTACAGGTGCTGGCATACGAATGATCATCAAACATACAAAAATGTAAGACATGAACTCAGCGGATGCAATTATGTAAATACAGTCGACACTTTGTATTCTTTGAAGCATCCATCATTTGATTTACCATAACATGGGGGAAGACTCAGGAACTAGATTGCTAGTCAAAGAAATATGTCACAAAGGATAGAACAAAGAATATCATCAGATGGTTTTATGCTAATTTTCGCTTTTCTTCTTCAGCAATCCACTGAATCTCTTCAGCAAAGGCTTCTTCTTATGCTGCTGGTTCTGTTTAGTTGGTGATGTCCTGCCACTGCTCTCCTTAGTTGAGTGCAACCCATTGCTGTCAAGACCTGCATCTTCCTTGTTTGATTCCAAATCAACCTGTGAGTCACCATCATTCTCCTTCTCCTTAGATGAATCGTAGTCAGCAAACTTGCTGTTCTCCCACATTTTGGAAACTACCACAACAGGTTCATCTTCATCTTCAGTGTCCCCCTTCTCATTATCTCCTTCCTTGGTGTTACCATTTATCGTGCCATCTTTTGCATTTGCAAGCTGGGAAGAGAGTTGCTTAATCTTCTCAGAAGCAGCTGATTCCTTTGCCTGCAGGTCGTCATTCTCCTGTTTTATGTTCTGCAATTCATTCTCTTGGTCTAATACCTTCTCCTTCCATTGGACAGTTTCAGCGTTGGCTTCCTCCCTGATTCTGTTAGCTTCCATTAGCTGAGACTCAAGCTGCTGCAGCTTCTCCTGCAACTCAGTGTTTTCATTTTCTTTCTCCTTAACAACCTCCAAGGTCCTGTCCATCTGAACTCTGATAGCACCTATCTCTTCTTCTGAATTCTTAATAGAGTTGACAAAACCTAGCTCTTTGGACTGCCATTCCTCATGCGCACCCTTAGCTTCTGCTTCTAGCCTTTCAACTGATTTCGTAAGGCAAACCTTCTCATAGTTTGCTTCATCAAGCATTAGCTCATAGTTCTCCTTAGTATTCTTCAGACTCAAGCTAAGCTCCTCTACCTGTGCCTGAGCACGCTCAATCTCATCTTGTTTGAGAAGGTACTTCTCTTGCGCCTCTCTGGATTCAGCTGACATTTCCTGTAAGGCTGAGGCCAGACCCTCCATTGCCTTCTTAACTTTCTCAAGCTCATCTTTAGTAGCTTCAAGCTCGTCAGCCAGCTGGTTCTTCTGTTCATTCAAGGTCTCTATTTCTGAGCTTGCATTTTTATCACTGCTCAGGGCCTCCATTTTCTCTTCTTCCGCTGTCTGGAGCTTCAACCTAAGCCCTTCAACCTCTGTCCATAGATCTGCCGCCTCTTTCTCCGCAGCATTGGCCCGTTGGTCCGACACAACAATATCACTCTTGAGCTTTGCCAGCTCATCCTCCAAGAACCTGACTTTGTCCCGAAGAGCAGCAACTTCAGATTCTCTATCACGGAGCAAACTACTTGTTGAATCCAACTCTTCCATTGCTGAATTCAAAGACTCACCCTTCAAAATATTAGACTGATCAGCCTCTTCCAATCTGACCTCAAGCAGCTCTGCCTTCTTCTGCCATTCATCAGCTAACAGCTCTGACTTGGAACCAGACTTCCTAGCATCACCAACATCACTCTTAAGTTCATCAACCATGCGCTCCAATTGAATTGCCTTCTCTTCAGCAGCCTTTGCTTTCTCAAGCTTGAGCTTTAATGCAGAGTTCTCTGCTTCAAGATTCTGAATTCTTTCTGCAGCCTTCTTCCCTTTGCCATCCATCTTGGAATCAACCAGCTCTTTCAGGCGCTTAACCTCTGCAGTGAGGAGCTCAACTTCCTGAGCCTTCACCTCACAAGCCCTAACAGCATCATCCACCTGGCTGAGAGCTTCATTTTTGGCATCGATTGCATCGGCCAGCTCATACCTGGCCTTCTCAAGCTGCTCCACTGTCGACCGCAGCGCAGCATCATCAGCCTCCTGCTGGCCGTGCATGCTTGCCTGCTCCGACTCGCTGGCAGGGAGTTTATCAGTCTCCTGCGCCTCCTGCAGCTTGGCATTGGCCTCATCAGCCGCCTTCTTGGCACGCTCCAGCTCCGCAAGGACTCTGCCCTTTTCCTTCTCGTTCTCCACCAACTGCTCCTTGGCCTTCACGAGCTCTTCTCGGACCGCGGCAAGCTGCGCCTGCAGCTCCTGAGCAGGCTTCGCCGGCTGCTGCTCCTGCGTCGGCTTCGCGGGCTTGCCCCCTTGCTTCTGAAACCATCAATCAAAACAAGTCTGAATTCCGCGAAAAAAAGAACACGGATTTCCGCGCCCGCGAACCGCAGGCGGTGGTACGGTGGTCGTCGCGGATTGCCATACCTCCGGAGGCGTGGCGAGGCGGGAGGCGGCGGCGGCCTTGGGCGTGGGCGCCTTGCGGTCAGCCGACCCCGAACCGGGTGACTTGTCGGCCGCGCGCGGCGTGCCGTGGCCGGCGGCGCTCGCCTTGGGCACGGCCGGCTTGCGCGGCCTGCTGTCGTTGGGGGTTGGCGGCGTGCCGCCGCCGCCGCCGCCCTTCTTCTCCTTGTCCGGCTTCGGCTTGCCGTTGCTCTTCGCCTCCGCCGAGCCAGATCTGCGGCCCAACCAAGAAACGGAACCACCGTCAGAATCAGACGGTGAAGGATCCACCTCGCGCGCGGAGTCGCAGTGATCAAGAAGCAGCGCAGAAGGGGTGTGACGGAGGGACGGACGCTTACTTGGTCTTGGAGCCCTGCATTGCGGCGCCTGCGTCTGTCTGGCTCTGCCACCGCTGCTGCTTGGCTTGGCCTCCTCGCTCTCGTCCCTTTGGTGCGTGCGTCGGCGTAACGGGCAGGCAGGGAGGTGGAGCGCTATGAATGCGGAGAAATTTGGGGGAAGGAGTGGTCGGTGAGCGGTCCGCTGCCGCGCTGCCACTAGTTGGAGAAGAAGATGGACGGGCGCGGACGGAGCGGTGCGGCTGCGAGCCTGCGGGCGGTTGCGGCTAGAACTAGAAGACACCGCCTCCGATCAGTATCCCTGTGGGTCTCGTCTGCTGTTGGGTCGCGTGGGGGGTGTCTTCACATTTTCCTCGCAGGTTTTTATTGGAGGACAGAGAGAGAGGGAGAGCGGGAGGCAGGCGAAGTGGCCGGGTCCAGGGAGGGTTGGAATGGAATCCGTTCGTCCTTCCCCCCCACCCCACCCCACCCCCCCTGGTTATACGTTTCGGGCTCGCCGCTTGCGGGCTGCGGCTGTGGTATCAGTATCACATCACTCTCGCTGCGTGCAGCGTGCCTGCGTCCCATCTCTCATATCTTTTTTTTTCTTTGTGAGAACATCTGTCTATCTATCGTATGGAAGTAGACGCAATCCTTTGCCGATGCCTTGTTTTCCCTTTCCTTGTCGTGATAGTTTTTCCATAATGATGAAGGAAGCAGCATGGTGGTCCCTGACCCTGACCCTGACCCTGATTCCCTGTTGTTTTCGAGGAAGAAGACAGCATATTCACTCGTTCGTTTCAGCCTGGGCTTATCAGCCAGTCAACAGTATTTTCCTCTCGTAACAAACCAGCATCAGCCGGGCTTATCAGCTTAGAAACCAACCAGCGAACAGGCTCAGAGAAAGATCTGTTGCGAGTTTATTTTGACACGCATGGTTGTGCATTCTAAATTTTGCAGTAATGCACGTACTACTGTAGTACGGTGTTTGATAGTAGTTCGACACATGTTCAGTCGTCGGTCGGTGAGTCGGTCAGTGCAACGAGCCGGTTGGCTGTCTGTTTTTAAAACCGCTCGGCGGCTCGCGTCGGGACTCTGGATATGATCGCGAGGCTTTCCAGGTCGGTGTGTCGTCTTGCTCCTTGGGTTTCCTGGAAACTCGTGCCGCTCAACGAACGAGCCCGGCCGGGCCGCCGGGCCATCATCAATGGCCATCGATGATTAGCTGGAGTAGTTTACAGTTCGTTCCGGCGAGTAATCACCGCCTGCGAACTGCGATGCAGTTCCTGAAATGCCAAGGACAGCAGCATGATTTTCGTAGTACGAGCAAATTCAAACTCGGAAGTTGGCGTTGGTGTGTGGGACTGTAGTCTGTACCGTAGTGGTCAAAAAATGGCCGTGACAGGGCTAACACCTCGGTCCTTTAAAACACACACTTCTCTATACATACTCCGCGAAACGGCGAAAGCCAGTTTTTTAACCTCTACGTACTAGGCAAGACAAAAGAATACTACTAGCAATCTTTTTTTAGTCCACGCAAACTCTAAACTAATCTTGAGCTTATCAAAATCTTAGTGCCAATGAGCATGTCTATAACTGAAAACAAACATCACTACATTTTTCTTTTTGAAAGGTAACACCATTACATATTGACAATAAATTTATGAAGATACGAGCACCCATCCAAAATCGAAAAATCAATTCTGGATTCTTATATTCCATCATAATGAGCTTAATTCACTACCTATAATCCTTCTAACAATCTAACGACAAATATAAGCAGTTCACAACATAAGCAGGTCTATCAAATTTCTATTAATTAGACTGTGAACAAAATTTATGTAATATATTTTTCATGATGAATATAGTAGCATCAACCTTGTATTATCAAACTAGAGATGGGACTAGAGTGTGTGGCTATTTTCCTGTTTCCATCTCGTCTCTGAAAACCAACCTGAATTACTGCCAACTCTAAGCATAGGGAAAGCATACCTTGGTGTCAGTTGTTTACTTGTTTTACCTCCAAAATGCAATCCTGCGGTTCTAGGCATCACAAATTTCCAAAAAAGTTACTATGGAAATAGTTTTTTTCTTATTAAAAATATATTCAAGGAACCAGCTTTTATTTTACGGTAATACTTGTACAGGCGTCCGTTCGAACTGAGAAAAAATCAAATCTCCCTCACTCCGCACTCTTCCATCGTGGCTTCACGGCGCTGTGTGGCCGTTTGACCATCCCAATACACCGCGTCGCCGCCTCCATCCCGCGTCGCCGCCCACTTTGGCTCGTTGCTGCCGCCATCCCCCGCAGAGAGGAGGAATCCTCTGTGCGAAGAACGCTACCAGCTGCCCCATTGATTGCAACTGCCGCCGGACCCGATCGCCGGCACCTCGCACTCCGCCTCCAAGCTCCATGCGCATGCTCGGCGAGTGCAGCGGCGCCTCTGTCCCCCGCCGCGCCATGACGTGCTCCGTCCTTCGCCATGCCTAGGCCAGGCGACCAGGAGAGGGGGCCATCGCTGGCCCGGCCCAGGCCAGGTGAAGGAGCAACTGGCCGCTGCCAGGCCGCGCCACCATCCTCGACTGCCAGCTGGCCGGAACCGGCCGCCCCCTCCCCTCCCGCTCTACGCCGTATTGTACGGAAGAATGGTGAAAAACGCATGTTGCAAGCCTATGCTCCAAGTGTTTCAGATGTTTTATGTATGTTGCAAATGTTTCATGTGGATGTTGCAAAAGTAGATCAGGATGTTGCATATGTTGCAATGGTTGTACACGTATGTTGCAAGCTTCTGTTCCCAATGTTTTCATTTATTTTTTTAGACGTATGTTGCAAGTGTGTTTATTTAGATGTTGCGTATGTTTCACACATGTTGCAAGTATTTTATTTGGATGTTGCGTATGTTTTACAATGGTTTTCAAGTGTTTTACATGTGTGTTTTACAAATGTTTCAGATGCATGTTTCGAGTGTTTCATCTGCCTTTAGACGTATGTTGCAAGTGTTGCGTCTGGATGTTTCGAAAGTAGATCGGGTGTTGCATCTCCCTCCTCGCTTTCTGCTGCCTCGCCTCGGTTTTTGCTCCTCCTCCCGGCGCCGGCTGGGCATCCGCCGCCCCCTCCCCCTCTTCTCGATGCTGGTGGCGTTCGGGGTGGTGCGGGTCCCATGTGGGCATGCGAAACAGGGCGGGGAACAACTATAGGTGCAAGCATCCGGACGCCCCGTCCGTCCGGACGTTCAGGCGCTAGAAAGCCCGTTTATTTTGTGATCAAAATATGAGCCCTATAGGATGAAGTGATGTGATGATGTTGGGACTTGGGTGGGAGAACAGTCGCGCCTTGGGCACCTAGAGGATGAGACGTCAATGTAGTCCCTTTTTCCATGAGGAAAGAGGAACACAAGCATTCCTCTCGGTCTTAAAAAACAACTCGTTAGCTTATACGAACTTAAAAAAATAGAATAGACATGCTAGTATAGAAAATTGTGTAAACATTGATATATAAATCATAGAAAAGTGCATGAGCTTATCTCTTTATAAAGAGGTGGTTTATATTCTCTTTTCTTTTTGTTGAATAAAATATTCTATAAGCTAACTGTTTTAACTCCATTGGAGATGCGCTAATGCATAGGTTAGATATACTTGTTAAGCCGAATTGAGTCATACCAGCAAGGACTAGCACGTGCGAGCTCACACGCGATCTAGCACGCAGAAAAAAAAAAACATGGTAGAATAGTGAGATCGACTAGCAAGTCAGTTAGAGCAATCCGTCGCTCGTTCTTCGTTTGGTATATATATACTCCTGGACACCTCCACAGGAAGCTATGTCGAGGAGGGCATAGCGAAGTTGCTCGGGATCGGCAAGATCATCTAGAATGCCGCCAAATCTTGTTAAAAGACATGACGAACAACAGGGGCTGCAAAAGTTAGGGTAAAAAAAGTAGCAGATGTATTTTTATGGCAATTACAAGTTGGATTATTTAATCGGTCACGATCCTCTCATATATACAGAGGGAGTGGTCTTAACCCGGTAGGAAACATATCTAGGACACAATCTTGAAGTTTCCCACGGACGAAAATGGATTAATGAGTTGGAAACAAACCGTACTCAGAACAGTAAAACCGGCCCGTCCGGTTTTAAAAACTGACCTGACCGGTTCTGGAAAATGGCCTAGCCGGTTTTCACGGGGCTCAACTGTGTTGCCAGATAGAACACAGAGAAACCGACCAGATCGGTTTGGGAATCTGCTCAGACCGATTTTGGCTAACAGTGCCCAATTTTCCTTTTCTTCATTGGAACTCCAATTTTGATGTTCAAAATATATTTTTTCAACGACTTAACGTTAGCAACTTGATGGTGGAATCCTTCTCTTGTTGGCATGCACGGTAGGGAGAACAGCCAAAGCCATAAAACAGTCGCAAACCATAGACTGAAAACACTGTTTATGTTGGTTTGTTCGTTGCTGGTTTGTGAGTAAGTACTGTTGACTGTTTTGTGTGAGAGAAAAAATAATGTTCCTTGCTAAAAACACTGTTCATGTGACCGGTGCCCGCGTGAGAGAGCTCCGCTCCAGCCGAACAGGCTGTGAGCAGCGAGGCCCAACTGAAATATGAAACATCGATCTCCATGCATTTTCCCCCCCTCCAGCTCACAACCACAAGCAGGCGCAGAAAAAATGGCACGCAGATAGAAGTAGAAGTCCTCGAGCACTAAACAACAGTAACCACTGGCAGGTGGAACCATTGAAGTACAGTCAGAGACGGGTAAAACACCTCTCGCCCGCCTGACGCCGAAACGCCACCAAGAAACCGGTCGGCGTCGTCCCGTCGTCCGTCCACAGTCCTGTCCGTTCCAGCTGTGGTTCTGGTTCCTCTGCATCTGCATGGGCAACCTCTAGCTCTAGCTGGGACGACGTGATGCGCACCACGCCACCGAACGCGCGCCAGTACGTTGTACGCAGCAGCATATAGGCCGTGCTTCTGTTGGATGGTCTCCGTCGGGCCGGCGTCGCCCATGTGGGCGCTAAAGATGGCAACGGGATGTACATGT